TCTATCATTTATGTTGTCATATTTTTGCGTTGTTTCAGTATCTGCTAAACATTTAATAAAGTTCTAAATTAATTTGTTATAATTTATGTATTATCTTTAGATTTAAAATTATCAAATTGAAAAATTATGGAGTAATCCGTACATTTGCAGTACTAACTCTAAATTAAGTTTTCCTTTAAATGATGTATTTTAGCGACATGCAACAGGTATACCTTTTTTAAAGCAAATTGAACGCTTTTTCGAAATAATTAATCATTTTTCAAAAATGTCTATTTTAAAAAAAAATCTAAAGTAAATACTAGATTGACACGCTAATTTAGAACGCCCTGTACATGTAATGCAACAAAAAACTTGTATTCGTTCGTACCACTTAAAAAAACTTACTTTCACAAAATCTGAGTATATTTATTCAAAAAATATTAGAATTATCGTAAAAATATTGAAAAAAAATTATTTCTCCACCCTGTAACTTCTTAAGCAAGCAAAATTCTACTAAATTGGCTTAAATGAACTTATTTTTGTCCAAACTAACTACATCTGAAGTTTGGCCTATTCTTTAATGAACACCATGTATAATAGTTATAGACAACTCTCAACGAATAAGCAAAAGATTAGGTTAGGTGAGCAAATATTTATTGATCACAATTTTTATAATTAATCTAATGTGTTAAATCTAGCTATGACAGATATTATGAAACAATAGTATTGATACGATATTAGACGTAAATAACATTTTATTTTTTCTTTTGAAAACACAATTGTCACTCATATCCTAGATAAAATTAAGGTTATTTAGGTTCTACAGCCTATAAGACGAAAAAAATATAAAAAGTAAACTTATTCATCAGCGTCAACATTTACTTTTACTTTTTATCTATTCAACCTTCTAATATAATTTTGTATTTTTCTTCTAAAAATGCAATTATCACTTATATCCAGGATAAAATGTAAGTTACTTACTACCGAAAAATGGGGTGAATAACAACACTTTTCAACATTTCCGGTTGTATAACTTTAAAACGGTTTGACTTAGAAAACTCGTTTTTATCGCAAAACTCTTATCTTATATCCACCTTTATCCCTACAAAATCAAAAATTTTCCACTTTTTTTGTAAATACCTTATTTTTTAAAATAGAGTGTGTTGCGATTCACCTTACGTCCGGTGTGCAACACTCGTTTGATTTTATGTGTTTTGGATTTCACACTGTCTAAGAGGTGAAAGGCAACATATTTTATATAAAAAAAAAATTACACTACAAAATAACTGAAATTCATATACTTAAAGGTAGCGGTAGCAAAGTACCACCGATACCTCCCCAGGCAGAACGAGGTGAGTCGCATTGAGTGTCGGGTGTGTGGTTAGCTGTGGCTGTAGGCGGTTGATTCTCACGCATTGTGTTCTATCGATAAAATCATTTGGTAACTAAATAATCATTTGACTTGATAATTAATAAAATCTAAGATAAGAAGTTGGATTCACTGACTAAAAGTACCACGGAAGTACATGGGGGTTGACTATTTCTATGAGTATTTCCAAGATTATTAATTTATTAAATTTATCAGTTGATTGATTGTTAAGATTGTTATTGGCCATATTGGCGAATGTAATTGTTGTATTAATTCGTTAAATTATTAGTTGATTGATTGTTTGAGATTGCTACATTTGAAAATGATAATGAAATGGCGAATTACTGCAATAACTACTTTTCGACTATTGGCACTAATATGTTCACAAATATCCCTGAATGTAATGTGGATTTTCCTGTATCAATGAAAAATCAATGTTTCTGAAAGCGATATGCGAAAACGATATTATAAAACACATAAATAGTTTAAAAAACAATGGTGCCCCCAATTTGATTGTATAACAGTAAAACATCTGAAACTACTACATCCGTATTTACAGGAATCTTTAATGCATATAATTAATTGTATTTTTAATACATGAATCGTACCTAAACAATTTAAAACTTCAATTATAACACCTATTTATAAAGCTGGTAATCTAAAATTAATAACTAACTATAGACCTATTAGTAATGTGGCCTAAATATTTGAGAAATGTGTGAAAGATTGACAGATTTTTTAAAAACTAATGACTTACTTCCCAAGCACCAATATGGCTTTACTGAGGGTCTTAACTCAGGAGATGCTATGCATGAATTGATTTCATATGTTACTGATGAAATATTTGCCACACCAGAAGCTCTTAAATGTTCTTATACAGAATGGAGCGAGGGGCATCGTGTTGAAGGTTTCTGAAAATTATTTGACACACAGACAACAGAAGGTAAACGTCAGAGACAATGTGAGTAACCCTGAAAATATACAAATCGGAGTGCCTCAAGGGACTGTTCTGTGACCTACACTATTTAATTTAAACATTAAGAGCTTAACTCAGATTGATATTCAAGGTAAAGTTGTATCATATGCTGATGATACAGTGCTAGTCTTCGGTGATAAAGATTGGGAAGCCGTCAAGACACGTGCTATAGCTGAAATGGAACATGTCAAAAACTGGCTGGATGTTTTTAAATTGTCTTTAAATGTTAACAAAACAAACTACATTGCTTTTTCAAAGACAGTGGCTGATCGACCTCAATTTAGAAGCTTAACATGTCAAAATTTAGACATACAGGAAACAAAAACATCCAAATATTTAGGTATAATTATAGACCAGCACTTAAAATGGGACTGCCATATAATATATATATATATATATATATATATATATATATATATATATATATATATATATATATATATATATATATATATATATATATATATATATATATATATATATATATATATATATATATAAAATTCAAACTAATTTATTGGGGGCAGCAGCAATATGTAATAAAGAAAACTCTTTAAAGATGATCCAAGCTTTCGGAAATTTAATTACTTATTTCCATCTTCAGGGAATCTATAAAAGGTGTGGTGTGTCTTCATATGAACTTAATATTATTAAGAGAGTGAGGATGAATTACTAATAATGTTAAATATTTTAAAATTTACGATTGTGATGCACATATAGAACTTCTATTACACAGTTTTACAATATAAGTTTAAATTATTGTGTTTAAAATTCAGTTACATAGAATTATGTCGTTTGAAATTTAACTGTTATGTCAAAATTTATGTCATTAGTTGTTTATGTATACAAGTGTGTTAGATTAAATATAGAAATTACTAATAAGGAACTTAGTTAGGAAGATTGCTATGTACCTAAATTATTATTTAATAAATGTTTTATCTGAGAATGTAGTTTGATTAATTATTTCATCATCAACAAAACTGTCACTAATTGTTGTGATGAATGAAAGGATATTGTATAATTATTTCATCAAAAACAATACTGTCACCATTGTTATGATGAAAGGTTGAATAATAAAAGTTTTAATCAGACTTGTATCATAAAAGGTGGTCATTTAAAAGTTAGATTTCATCTGTAATAATACTGTCACTATTATTGTGATGAAGGGTTGTATTGGTGTTGAGTAAGTATGAGTAAATAGCACTTAGATGTTTTATGTCAGTCCTTTTATTAATACAATTTTGATTTTGGTATATCCAAGCCATTTCCAAGAAGAGTCTTTTAGTATAATTGGATTCTGTGTCAAGAATCTTAGATGCATCATAGTCCATTCTGTGGTCTAAACTGTTAACATTATTAGTAATTCATCCTCACAAAGATGTAAGTAACTCACTCTCTTAATAATATTAAGTTCTTATGAAGACACACCACACCTTTTATAGATTCCCTGAAGATGGAAATAAGTAATTAAATTTCCGAAAGCTTGGATCATCTTTAAAGAGTTTTCTTCATTACATATTGCTGCTGCCCCCAATAAATTAGTTTGAATTTTACGATACTATTCAGCAAAGACTACCCTTCCACTATATATATATATATATATATATATATATATATATATATATATATATATATAGCAAAAAAAACTTAGATTTCTGATTTATAAATTTTATCTTCTAAAACAATTTCTCAACCAGGATCTACTAATAACATTATACTACAGTCTAGTAGAATCTATACTACGGTATGAAAACTAAGTATGGGGAGGCCTGTATGGAACTACATTAAATCAGTTAAATGTTATTCAAAACAAAATCTTGTAGTTAATATATAAAAGAGATAGATTGTGTCCCACCATAACTTTATATAATGAAAAAATTAGCAATGTTAGATGTTTATATATTCACACTAGAACTGCATCGAACATGTGCATTAAAGTACCAAAACCAAATAGTGAGTTTTTTAAAAACAGTGTAAATTATCTAGGGACAAAGTTCTATAACGCTCTACCTCTTCATATAAAATTATTAAAAAAATATAAAAAATTCTGTAAAGTTAGCAAAATATACATTTTCCAAAATAATGCAAAGTTTATCAGAATATTCCAAGAATAACGGACTCAATACATGGATTTTTTTTAAATAGTTTTTTTTCTGTTTCTTGCATAAATTGTTCAGTTTTATTTTTTATTAAAAAAAAAAAATTATTTCCTTTATAATTTATAAAATTTTAATTTTTGTCAGCACATACAGGTGTTCTCACCTAGGTGCTTGTTATTATATAATTGGTCTCCATTATTGTACTTTATTGTAACTCATTGTAACTTATAACAATTAAACTATTAAAATATTTCTATAGACTACAAGACGTAAAAAAATATAAAAAAGAATAAACTTATACATCAGCGTCAATATTTACCTTAACTTTTTATCTTTTAAACCTTCTAATATAATTATTGGATTTTTTCTTCCGAAAACGCAATTATCATTTATATTCTAGATAAAATAAAAGTTACTTAGGTTTTAAAAACTACAAAACGTAAAAAATATAAAAAATAAACTTATACATCGGCGTCAATATTTACTTTTAACTTTTTATCTATCCAACCTTCTAAATCATAATTTGTATAGTTTTATTTTTGCTATCTAATCTCAAAATAGAGAAATTGAAACATACCTTCATAAACAGATATACCTAGTCGATTGTGTTGAACTAAGGGACGATACATTATGTAAATCACAAACCAGTAACATATTTTATTTCTATGTAATTAAAAAAGAAACTGGAATAAAATACATATTTTCTAGCTAAATTTCTAATATTGATAATATGAGATTAGGTACTAATGACTTTAACAACTTAAAATATTTTAATTTCGCTTACTTGATAAACTAAACTTGACCTTTTAAGTAGTAGTAAAGGTTGTTAAAAATATTGTTAATAAAATTATTCATCATACTCTCCAATAATTTAATCCTTTAATTGGGCTAATATTGCGAAAAATTATCGGTTATTGATCCTAAAACAATGGAAAATTCTTTGTAAATTCTTTAGAAATTCCCTAATATACTTTTTTTAAATTGTTTCCACGAAATAATTAAAATTATTTTTGAATTCCAAAAGTGAAAACAAATAAATTGAAAAATAAAAAAAAATCTGTTTCGGAAAGGATTCTACATCCGCGTTTTACGAACGCTGCGTTATATCAAGGACAGAAGTTGAAAAGGCTTTTGGTAGGTAGAGAGATGGTAGAAGTCAAACCCAGTCACAGATAATGTTTGTACGCCATTGTCATATCACAGAATAAAAATAATACCAAACATTTTAAATTGTACTAGTGAAATCGGGCGAACGTATCTATTTATAGGGTACAAATAATTATTTAAGCAAATAATATCCCAAATCATAATTCTACAAAATTTCAACAGTTATTCACAATGTATTAAACTATTTACGCGAAATTGTTATTAGCATCTACAAAATAATTTTCTAAGGCAATATTTCGCGTTTACTTCGGTTATCTCTGCGACAAAACTGTCAAATTTTGTGTATGAAGTGGAAAAACTGGGCCAAAGCTTTTCCAATTTCTGTTACTGTTCTACCATCTTGTCCCTTCAGGATATTAGATATCGTGGAATCGAATTTTTTATTTTAGTATTATACTAAGACAATATCCTCAGTTAAATATTTTATCTGACAATTATTATCTGGAACATTTAAAAAATTACCTGTGATAAAAATAAAGGTACTTTTAGTCAGCCTGATTTAGTTTAAAGCATTAACATAGATATTAACATAAAAGTTAAACTCAATACATTTCAATGTACCCATCTGTTATACAGAATAAAATATAGTGTTTGTGCGTTGTATGATAGCCTTGATCTCAGATCAATTGGCCAGAGCTAATGTTGTTAAAATGAATCTAAACCTACCTACAATTTTTACAAATTACAACAATATAATAATTAATAATAAAGGAAGTTAAAGTCTGTTAAAAGTACAAAATTTTCATCATATTAACAATTAAACAAGAATTAAAACAGTTATGTTACTATTAATTATACATAATTATATTTTAGGCAACGAATTCCATTTTTTTACATATACAGGGTGTTAAAAAAAAAGTGTCACAAAATGAAATGGTGAATAGTATGACCCAAAATAAGCAGAAAAGTCTTAATAAATATATGACCGCAAATTAACGGTTTCGGAGATACGGACCATTTTGTGTTTATAACAACTTTTTATAATTATAAAAAAACAATGATATTTATAAACAATCAATAACAACATAGAGTTAAATGAGATGTTCAAATACTGACGTAGCGCTTCCCTCGCATTGCCATTTGCACGACCGTACATAAAATGCATGTCAGCTAATTCAATATTAGTGTAAACAGGCATAACGAAAATTTATAAAATTATTCACCCACAACAAAATAATAACTGCAAATAGTATCTATGAAAAAATAACCGTAGACTCCGATAAGAAAAGCAAGTTTTTGAGAATGAAAAAAGATAATCAAAGAATGATACAAAACACAAAACACTCCGTATCTCTGAAACCATTCATTTGCGGACATATGTTTATTAAGACTTTTCTGCATATTTTGGCCCATACTACCCCCCGTTTTATTTTGTGACACTTTTTTTAAACACCCTGTATATGTTAGCAGGTAAACAAATTTTGTGTGATTACTCATTGTAATATAATGTAAAGAACATTGGCACTGGGAAAATTTGTCAGGATGGACGAGCGCTCTTTCCAAATTACGAGTAACTGTTAATGCTACCATTCGAAAAGTTAAGTACAGGTTAGGTTAATATTGTTTTTATGTTACCAGAAAGTCAAGTACAGGTCAGGTTAATCCCTGATGAGTACCTCTGAACTTAACGATGTGTTCATGTCACCAGAAAGTCAAGTACAGGTCAGGTTAATCTCTGAGGAGTACCTCTGAATTTCTCTACTACTTTTATTTAGTAACAAAGTTAAGTACAGGTCAATTAAATATCTGAGGAGTACCTCTGAACTTCCATTTAAAGCTTTTGCTTTTGTGAGCAAAAAACAAGTTAAGTAGAGGTCAGTTAAATATTTGAGGAGGAGTAACTCTGAACTTTAATTTAAAGTTTTTTTGTGATTAAAGAAATTAGGTATAGGTCAGCCAAATATCTGAGGAGTATCTCTGAACTTATTGCTTTTATTTTGTCTGCTTAGCACAAATTTAGTGAAATCTTTTGAAATATTAAATATAGTATAATTGTTAGCATCGTGCAAGCTTTATGTTTTATAAATGTGGTCTGGTAAATGGTATGAGGAATCCGAGGAATAACAATCACAGAAAAAATCGGTAAGTTGTACTGTCCTAGATGGGTGGTGTTATCAAGTAATTCTTTTGTTTTTGGTTTTTTCTTTATGTTTTGTTGCCTAAATTATATATTAACTGCCCGAGACCTACTAGAGGACTTGCTTTTTAACCACGCGATGGCAGGTGGTAAGCATTTCGTGACTAGTAGAGTGAAAAATGCTGGATGGATATTGTTGAAATCCGAGGAGCATAGCTTTTATTTTAGATGATTTAAAATTGAAAAATGCTGGACGGATATTGTTGAAATCCGAGGAGCATAGCTTTTGTTTTAAATGATTTAAAATTGAAAAATACAGGACGGATATTGTTGAAATTCGAGGAGCATAGTTTTTATTTTGAAATTATTTTAAACATATTAAATAAAGTGTTATAAATCAGAATGTGACGAGAGGATGAGCAGAAATCTTTTTCGAAATAATTGGCGTAGAAAGACTTTGGCGGCTGATCTTGTAATTTTGTTATCTTTACTCGAGACGTCTTTTCTTTCTGTTTAATATTTTTATAATTTAAAATAATACAAATTAATAACCAGTCGTTATATAAAAAAAGAGAACATTTCGAGAGCGAAATATAGATCAGTATGGCCGTGTTAGCAGGTAAACAAATTTTGTGTGATTACTCATTGTAATATAATGTAAAGAATATTGGCGGTCAAGAGTGGGGGGTGCGGGAAGTGACGGGTGTAGTAGCGAATCGTCGACTGAACTCTCCCAGGCAGAATGAAATGATGGGTCGCCTTGAGTGCTATGGTGAAATCAAGCTGTTAGTTGATGCTCACGCATTGTTCTATTTGACTTAATTATTGAAAATTGTTATTATTAAGTTGAGACAGCTTTTTAACAGAGAAAGTCGATATCATTGCGTAAAGACATGATTATTAGAATATTTAAAGGAAAAATCGGACGCAAGGAATCAGCATAAACATAGGTATTGTATTTAGATGAAACATGGGTTAATGTTAATGCTGAACATACATTATAAATAAATTGGCAAGATACCTCTATTAAAACTAAAAAAACAAGCCTATATGGAAGAGGTTTCGTGTGGATTAAAAAATCCAACGGAAAAAGGAAATCGTTTAATAAAAACCCACATTGGAAGCACCTATGGATTTTTGCCAAATGGTTTGTTAATGTTCGAAAACAAAAGACTACTGTGAAGAAATGGATATGGCCCTATGTTTGAAGAAAATTGGTTTGAGAATATTATAAAAAACATTCCAGCCAACTCCATTATTGTTTCGGATAATGCAACCTTTCACAGTAGATTAAAGGAGCCACTACCTACAAGACGAAAAAAAAAGATATTTTAAAATGGCTTTGTTTTAAAAATATTATCAGTCCTCTTAAATCCTTGAAGGCAGAATGACTCTTAATGGCAAGGCAAAATTTAAAAAATATATTATAGATGAAAAAATAAATTGAAATTCTCAGATTGAATCCTTATCACGCAGAGTTAAATCCCATTGAACTGATCTGGCCACAATTAAAAGGTTATGTTTCTCAAAACAATACAACATTTAAATTACCTGATGTGCGAAATTTGTTTTTGAAGGCAAGTTTCAGATGTAACTGGAGAATATTGGATAAAATGCATTGATCATGTTAGAAAGGTGGAAAATTTATTTTGAAAAATTGAAAACCCTGGGGAAGTTCAGTATTATTCATTATCCTAGAAGAATAATTTGTCGTTGAATATTAATTACTTTTTCAGTTTATTTTGACTGACTGGGGACGATCACATAGATATGACTGAAATCAGTGTTTTGGTATACCGCGAATACCATAGTGAGATATTTTTTTTAACGGCAATTCTTTTAACAGGTCTAGTTAAACTCTAAAATTTTTAGTCTAAATTTTCCCTCAGTATGGATTAGAACCTAACAGAATATTCTTAATTTTTCAATCAACCACTAGTACAACATTGTCTAAGAAAACATGTCAGACACATGCAGATCTCTACATCTCTGCTTGTGCAGACATTTAAAACTCTCCTTACCACACATTTGGAAGTCGTTCAAACTGTGCACAATATTTTTGTAAAAGAGAACAAAATGACAGAGATTTTGTGACAGAAATGGAAGAATGCGGATTAATGGATTACATGGTATCTGCTGGTAATAGGCTGGTTCAAAACAGCCACAGTTTATTAAAAGCTGTCAAAAAGTATTCCTGGGATTCACACACAAAGATTGGTTACTCAAATGAGCAAACGTAGATGTAGTAGAAAAGCCAGGAGCCCTCAATTAAAAAAAAAAACGCAAAAATGACGCACCTAAAGATAGGAACTACGGATTTCAATGCGATGATGATGACGGTGTTGTGGAACAAAAAAACTGCAATTTTTGGATAGTTTACCAAAATCAATAGATGATATTTGTAAAATTGAAGTATTGAAGTCAGGCCAGTAATGATCTGTGGAAACACCATAGGGTTACCACCTGTCCTTTTTTCAAGCAAAATGTCCTTGCGACTTTTTAAAGCTCAAAATGTCCCTTTTTACGGCATATGTCCTGTTTTACTACTTGGGTTGTACAAAAATATACAAGATGAGAAGCTTTTTTTAAAGGCTCGGTAGAAGGACGAGGACTTTTTTTTTCACACACTCGTCGACCTTTTTTTTTTAGAAGTTCAGTAGAAGGATGAGGACCTTT